AAAAAAAAAAAAAAAAAAATCCCAGAGGCTTCTCTTTGGCCCCTTCTGTTAGTGCCGGTTTCTGTAGTTGCTAGGCCTCTCCAGAGGTCAAGGGCCATGGCTCTGAGACCAGAGCATAGCAAGCGCCTTCATGGCTGTATATCATCTATCTAGAGAGCAGATGTGGGGGCCAGAAGGGGCAGGTGAGTGCAAATCTCAACTTTGTCAACATGCACTGAATGGAAAGTGACAGGGGGAATAGCCTCACCCGCTATCAATTTTTTCATCTGCAAAAAAAATAATAAAGTGGGTAGGTCTTGGCCACACAACGAAAAGAGACTTGATACAGACTGCCCCTCTCCTAAACTCCCACTTCTCTCCCTTAGCTCCCAGGTCCTGAGAACCAAAGTCAACTCTTTCAGCTGGGTCAATTCCCTACTCCATAATCCCAGTCTGCCTCTACCAGGGCGACAAGGGCCCGTAGGAACGGCCCTGCACCGAGATAAAACAATCAATGGTTTGCTGCTGTGCCTGTGTTTACTGAGAGTCTCTCCCAACGCTGGAATGCGGGATCTGGGAGAACAGGGGTCCCAGATATCTTGCTCCCGGAGGCTCCATCAATGAGAACCCCCGCGGGGCAGTCCCCAGTGGTCCCAGACCTCCAGTGGCGTCCTCGAGGCGGAAACCCCGGCGTGAAGCCCACCCGCTCGCGCCCCAACTCCTGGTCGCGTCCACACCTCTCTAGCGTTCTCCTGGCCCACGAGCCCCGAAGCAGCCTGCTTGGCCAGGCCGCTTTCGTCCAGGCCTAGCCCCTTCACGTGGCTGTGGGAGGCGATCCGCTGCGTCTTGGTGGTGCTCTTCACCTCCTCAATCTTCATTTTACAGGTGCTGGGAGCCGAAATCAGCGTGGAAAACCAGGATCAAGCACCGCACGCACTGCACCGGGGTTACCTTGCGGCCGTTACTAGGGCGTTACGTAAAGTCCCGCCTCTGCCGACGCTCTATTGATGGAAAAGTGAATAACTCTCCTCTCCATTGGCTTATGGCTGTACCCATCAGATCTGCCGGTGGGGTCCTGCCCACTCACTTCCGGCTGTGTCCGGAGTTGGCTTTCCCCACAGCTGGCGCTTCCTGCCGGGGGAGAAATACAGGGGGACAACTGGACTTGCTGTGGCGAGGGGCTCAACCTGAAGGAGCGGCCACCCCGGGTTCGTACTGGTGCCAGCTTTAACGCTAACACGTGTGGACCTCATTACTTCAAGTTGTTGCCTCCGTTTTGGAGAAGAAGAAACACGTTCAGAGCTTGTTCTTTGATTTTTGTTGCTGGTTTTTGTTCTGCTTGAAACAGGATCTCGTTGGAATCCAGGCTGGCTTGTAACGAGAAGGGATCCTCCTGCCCCAGTCTTCCGAGTTACAGGCGTTCATCACCATGCCCAGCTCATTGATTTATTCCTGCTTTAGTTTTAGACAAAAAGAAATTGCTTTCACTAGTGGAGGAGGAAACCTCTCCACCAACTGTTGGTCAGTTGGTACTCTATGGAACCTTGTGTATTGTCCAATTAGAGGGGAAAAGAGCATTTTCACATTGTAAGCCTCAAACTTTGTCTTTTTTTTAGCACAAAGAAGGATCTTCCAGCCAAAAAATGGGAGAGGAGTGAGGATTTTAGAGCCTAAGGAAATCCCTGAACTACTTGGTCCATGACTTTCAAAACCCCGGAATTGTAGATTCCTTTTGTGGCCAGTGTAGGAGGGCCAGGAAAGGCTGAAAGTGTGAGATGGGATTTCACAGCCCTTCCATCAGAGCTTTCATTTTTGCTGCTAAGGAACAATTCAGAATTCACAAATCTGGCCTGGTGTTCTCATTTTACCAGTGAGAAAAACGAGGCCCTGGGAAGGACCAAGGTCATGGATTGTCCAAATGCACAACACCGGCACCGTGCAGATGTTCCCTGGTTGTGGAGCCAATGATAGGGCAGGTCTGTGTCCAAGACACACAAGGTGATAAAGGACAGGGAAGGCCTGTAGGAGGGAACAGAGGTGACCCACCCACTGGTGTGCAGCCCATTTCTGGCTGCCATAGCTCCAATTTTGTTTAGAGAACTATTCTCTGCCCTCTTAATGTCCTGAGTGACTTGGCTGCGTTGATGCACAGTCAGCCATGTTAGGGTGAGTGTGCGATCCTAGCATGGCTCCCAGAGCATCCTATCTCCCCACACATAAGATGGCATCAGGAACTCAAAGCAACCAGTCAGTGATGTCCTGTCCCCCTGACTTACCTGAGAGATTAGGAAAGGGAACTGGGTTTTCAGGCTGCTGAGACTCCGCCCAGGAACAAAGCCAACACGAAGGAAAGGAGAGCTGTTGGAAAGAGATTACTTTAAGTTCTTCCTCCATCTCACCTTGCTTACAGTATAACAGGGCTTTTCATTCAGGGTGTAAAATGATGATTAGAGCCAGGTTTCTGTCCTTGGGGACTGAAAAGCCACGTCAGCAAGGAACACATCCAGTAATTGTGTGAACTACTCTTGAGCAGGCGTTCTCTGAAGAAACTGCATCTACCTTGAAGACTCTGCAGTGTACTTGACCTTGGCTGACTAGAACATGGTGACTGGGGAGAAGGAAGGTTGTAGGTCAAGAGGCAGCATTAGGCATGGTGGCACACATAATCCTAGCACTCGATAGGCTGAGGCAAAAGCATCATCATGAGTTCTAGGCCAGCCTGGACTACATAGTGAGATCCTGTCTTGAAAAAACAAAAAAATTACTAGTGGATAAAACAAGAGACAAGAGACAAGTCACTTTTTCTCACCATAGAGTCCAAGTAGCATTCCAGCTAGTAGGCTAGCTTTCCACCCACAGAGGACCTGTACCCCAACTGTGCTATTGCTGTGCCGTCCCCTCACACACCTGTCATATGGTGCAAGGTGGTTGATGAAGCTTCCCTAAAAAAGTCCAAATCTGCCCCAGCAAGAAGGAGTGAGGGAAAAGAGGACAACATTCTCCTTCCCTTTAACCCTGACCTGGAAGGTAAACCATCATTTCTACACCCAGCCCAACAGAACCAAATGCCTGTGGCTAGCTGCAAGGGAATCTGAGAACCCTACAAAATCAATTCCTACGTGAAAAGTGGGGAAAGTAGGTTAGGAAACCTCTCTTGGTCTCTACTCAAGGTGCTGCTCTGTGCCCAGCACTACTGGGCTCCGTAACCCGATTCAGGTGCCCACATGACTTCTCATAGCCAAGATAATCCTACTCACTAAGCTCCAGAAAGCAAACTCATCTCTCAGAGGCCACACTCTGCCCTTCCTTGTCCTGATTTTATCCTCTCCCTAGCAAAGTTCTTACCTCATTGAACATCTTTCTCTTCCCAGTCTCCAGTCTCAGTTCAATACAGCTTGAATTCACTCTCATGCTGTCCTGAATCTGTTGCCTCAAAAGTCAAGGATGCCACAAAACACATCTTGTTATGTTGATTTTTTTTTTTGAGATAGGGTCTTGCTGTGCAGTCCAGGCCATCCTTGAACTCACTGTGTAGCCCAAGTAGGCCTCGAACTCATGATTCTCCAAGGGTGGGGAGAGCACCAAAGGTGCAGTCAACAAAAGAAAGACTAGATAAGTTGGACTGTAAATACTTTTGTGCATCAAAAAGCACTATCAAATGAGCAAAGGACAGAGCCCCACAGAAAGGGAGAAAATATTTGCAAACCTTGTATCTGGTAGGGTTTAATATCTAGCATACATGAAGGACAACAATTCCAACCAAAAAGCCAAACAATCCAATTTTAAAATGGGTAAAGAACTTTTTAGCTGTTTCTCCAAAAGAAAAAGAAAAAAACATACACAAATGGCTTTTGGACATGTGAGAAGATGCTCAACTTCATTAGTCATCAGGGAAACGAAAGTCATAACCATCGCAAGATGCTACCACACACTCACTAAGAAGGCTGATATTCGAAAGAAAAAAATGAAAATAACATGTTGCAGAGAATGGGGGGAGGGATTGGAACTCTTGTACATTGCTGATGGGAACAGGTTGTAGGGCAGCCGCTGTGCAAAATAGTGTGTTGGCTCCACAGTTAAAGGTAGACTTAGCTCAGGACCCAACAACTCCTCTATCATCCAAGTACCAAAAGAGCTAGATGAGTCGCAGTGGCCAAGGGGTGGAAACAACCTAACCATTCATCAACAGAGGATGATAAATAAAATATAGTCTCTCCCTAAAGTGGTGTCCTGAATACATGTGACCCTTGCAGACGTTCAGATTTTAGTATGTGTGCTGCTGAAGCGAGCACTTTGCAGACGTTGTGGTGAGTGAATATTCTGTGACTGCACTCACGTGAAACCTGTGCACAAGGCAGATTCACGGCTGCAGAAAGCTGATTGGTTACCAGGAGCTGGAGAGATATAGTCAATGTATCAATACAGAGTTTGTGTTTCAGATAACAGTAAAGTTCTGGGAATAAATATCACCGATGGCCCCACAACACTGTATTTTGTTGTTTTCTTGGAGCTGTGGCTTGAACCCAGGGCCTGACACACATGCTAAATGCATCGCTATCAGTGAGCTACGCCCGGAGCCCTGCAGAACAGCTCGAGTGCACAAGATACCACCGAATGCACTCTTGGACGTGGCATGGAAGTTAGTGTTATGTGTATTTGACCCAAATTTAAACAGAAAAAGCTCAAAGTTGGCTTCTCACTGACACCAAAAGTGGGAACTTCTGACCTGGAGACAGTAAAAAACGGAACTGAGCAAAGAATCGCCAAAATTCAAGCAAGGCTTTTTTTTAAAATGGGGTGTTGGCTGAAGCAGAACACAGACTAGTACTTATTAAAAGAGAAACCAGTAGGGACCAGGGGTTTAGCTCAGTGGTGCTGCGCCTGCCTCACAAGCACAAGGTCCTGAATTCGAGCCTCAGTACTGCAGAGAGAGAGAGAGAGAGAGAGAGAGAGAGAGAGAGAGAGAGGGCAAGGCATTCGAGCCTCTACTGCAGAGAGAGAGAGAGAGAGAGAGAGAGAGAGAGAGAGAGAGAGGCCAAGGCTGGGCATGGTGGCACACACCTGCAACCTGCAATCTCATCACTCTGAGAGGCTGAGGCAGGAGGATCCCAAGTTTGAGCCCAACCTAGGCAACTTAGGGAGACTCTGTTTCAAAATAAAAAAAGGGTGCAGATGTAGCTCAGTATGAAGGCCCTGAGTCCAATCCCCAGTACCACCAAACAGAATAGAGGGAAAGGGAAACAGGTTAAGGAACAGGTTAAGGATTACAGAGTGCTTGCCTTCTTCCCTTTGTGGTGACCCTGACAGCCTCCTTCACTTCATCTCTCTCATTCCTGGCCATGTTGTAGGGAGGGCCCTGTGGCTTTTGGGCTATAGCTGGTTGCTGCAGTTGATAAGATTGAGAGAGTGAGGGTTTCCACGTGCTATTGAAAAAATGCAAGAGCAGAGAAAGACACGGACCATATTTCTAATGGGTCGTAGTTATGAATCAAGTCCCAAGAGTGCATCATTCTGCATGGCAGGCCTGGTGGTCATCACAGCCACACCCTCCAGACACTCAGCTTTCCCACCTTCCACGGCCCCTTCCATGTCCAAACCTGTAATGGCTGGGGCTTTTCTTTTTCTCTCTCTCTCTCTCTCTTTCTTCCTTTTTTTTTCTTCTCTCTCTTTCTTTTTTGAGATATGGTCTCACATTTTAATTTATCTTGGTCTTGAACTCTCTGTTAGCCCAGGCTGTACTTGAACTCATGATGATCCTCCTGCCTCTGCCTCCCAAGTGCAGGGATGACAGCCATGTGCCACCACCAGGCTGATATCTCTCTCTCTCTCTCTCTCTCTCTCTCTCTCTCTCTCTCTCTCTCTCTCTCCACTCTGACCAGTCTTCACCCCACCCCACCCTGTACTGGGGATAGAACTCAGGACCTTGAGCTCACAAGGCAGGCACAGCACCACTGAGCTA